AAAAATACTAATGTATACTAATACTAATACTCCCCTCTCCCCTGCTCCCACCTCCTCCACTCTCCCAGCTTTTGTTCTCCTATGCTAGTTAATCTTTGCTGTCTGCCCTGTCTTTCTCACACCCGAAAAAGGCTCCACAGCCAAAACGTTGTGTTTTCTTTCTTCTCTTTTCAGCATGGAATAAACCTGTTACTTGTTCCTTTGCAGACTATGCATGCTGACACAGCTACCCACCTGAACTACCAATACTAATACTGATCAATTATTTGGTTTTTCAGTTTTAAAAAGTATTTTTCTTTTAAAAACCTGTGTAATATTCACAATAAGTATTTCTTCTCTATGTCAAATGTAGAAAATAAACCAAGTGAGAGTGGAGACACCACCTTTTTCTCCAAACTGACATTATGTCACTTTCTCTGCAAACTGACATCATCCAAGTGGGGCTGCACACTGGTGGGGGTGGAGGGGATCCCCATTACCTGTAAAGCGCTTTGAGTGGAGTGAAAGCGCTACATAAGTGTAAGGAATTATTCATTATTATTAGTAGTAGCAGCAGTAGTCATAATACCAGCTTTTAACTTAACAATCCATTGGTGACTCTTGTTTTCCAGGTTAAAGCCACTTTTGAAAATACGGTTTTACTTAAAAGTAAATTTTAAAAAAAAAACTTAAAGGGATTATTGAAAATACTATCGTTCCATTGTCAGAATTATGCGCTGGTTCTGATCAGCAGTACTCCCCTCTGGAAACTCTAAAAAACTTCAGGCTCAGGCCCAGCACTGTCCTACATGTTCAAAAAAACATCTCTCAACAGGTTAATATGGGTTGCGAGATCCTTCTTCTAACCTGTGCCCCAGCTTGTGATATATGATGACATTGTGATAAAAGTCTGTATCCTGTGCTGTTCCTGCCCCAGACTGTCTGACTGCCCTGTGAACGGCTCTCACCGAGAACTCCAACAGTTTCCAGGGACTATCGCCGTAGAGACACAGCCAAGAAACTGCAGCTCACGGAAATACCTCAGCAAGATTCCTGGACACAGCAAACAAGACACCACAGACACACAACCCTTTTCCACTTGAAGGCACTTTTATGACACCCAGCTCAGCTTCACAGCTTTAACGAAAGTCGACTGTAGGAACCCTGCACAGGAATTATACACATTTTCCAGATTTTTCCATCTGCTTGGGAGGTTTTTTTTTTGCTATGATTTCCAAATGTTTGCGTTAATCTTTTACTTTTACAATGATTTGCCATCATGTAATACCGGGAACTACAATATTACTCTTACACGATACAGTAAAGATCTGCTTTACTATGTTCCACATTCGCATTCATGCTCTCATAAATCACTCTTCCTTATCTGTTCCTAAATGCAGGAGAAAAGACACAGCAGTCTACACAGTGGAACAAAACAAAACTACCTATCATCAGTGATCTTTTAGGCTTATACTGGCATCACATTCATTACATTTTGTTATAGGTGAGATGTTTAATCATCTGAAGGCTGAATCTATTGTGCCACTTTAAACTTCGTCAAAACCTTTAGATGTGTTTTAAAGTGTTGGTACTAATCCAGGTTCTAATCCACTGCCTACACAGAACATAAACCAGAGATATAAAAAGCTTGTTCAATATTTCCTTGCTTCTGGCCAAATGAGAACATCTATACCGTTTAGGAAGTATTCAGCAGGCATTGTGTTGTCATAGGATGATCACAAAAATAAAGACCAGTAACTTATAAATTGTAATTCCTAAAGTGCTCTTCCCTAGCAAACGTTTCGGCTATTATTAATTAATATTACAAGATACGTACATTCTGCCAGAATCAAAAACCAAGGGAGTTGGGAGTTAAACTGGGAATTAAAAGGATGGTTTTGGGGAAGACGCTATGAGTCTAAGGCGGGGTTTTCCTTTTCTGGGTCTGGAGATCCAGAGTCCAGCAGAGCCTATGGGTGACCAATTTCTAAAGACGTGGAACAATTCCATTGTGATCAATTAAAGAAAAAGCATTCCATTGTATAAATTAGAGGTCATTTTTTATAAATACCAGAACCTTTCATCTGTTCAGGACCTGGGGTTCTTTTAATTGAACAGATACTGTATCTCGCTTAATTGATCAACAGCTTCTGGATGCTCCCAATATATCAGATCACCTATAAAACTAACATGACTGGGACTCCTCGAGACCACACCTAGACACTCAGGGTGTAAGGAGAGCACAATATAGAAAATAAACTTTTCAAATTTAAATACTGAAAAATAAATTCTCATATCAATATTGTCGGAGGCATACATTTGAGATTTAGGAAACCACATTCTGCCCTATCTAATGCGAGCAGTCAAAACCATATCTGCAAAAAAATGTAATAAAATTCTGGTCACGGTTACCACTAATATCATAGGCTGTTTAATTTGTATACCTGAAATTAGTTTGTTTTTAAAACGACATGTAAAAATGACCTGACAGAAATGTCAGAATCATTAATGTTTTGTTTTTTGGTTTGGTATACTTATTGAACTAAACTTCTTCTGTTATTAAAAAAGACTTTTGAGGCAGATTTTACAAGTATAAAATAATTTTGTTTTCACAGCGTGGCCTGAATAAAATGGCATGTTGTCCAATTTGTGGCAAATTCCATTTAAAATCCTTATTTTTAATGCATTCAGGAAGATATCACTATAGTCTATTTTTAAAAGCAAATAAGGAAATTGCTGATCAGTATCATAAAAGCATTTAAAACTGAAGAGGGAAAGGGTGACTTCAGTGAGTCTGAAAGGTCTCTGCTAAATAAATCTGTGTGAAATGCAGCTAAGTCACTCGCTGCAGCCAAAAACTGACCAAAACCATTTTATTTCTGGAACAGTAACTAGACAACTTGTCCATCATACTTAGCTAACATTACAAATCATCGTCACTGCAGTATAGTGTAGTACAACCCAGTGCTGTATAAGCATGACAAAAACGTGCCGAGAGTGCAGTCATTTCTTAAACCAAGATTTACAATGGCAAACTATGCAAATATGCTTGTGAATGTATTTAAGCATTCAAGCCTTTTCCCATTCACAAACAATGCTGCTGAGGTACAACTCTGCTGGCCTGAGTGATCTTGAGTGTAGCAGCTCACTGCATCAATTAATTCCCAACATGCTCATCTATTCATGCCCTTACAGCAAGCCCGCCTTCACAGATAGCTGCTTGAACCAACTGAAGCTCGGGAAAAACACGAAGGGCACCCTGTGCATCTCAAGCACAACCTCCTGAATGTAATGCAGATTTTACCCAGCCCAAACCCTGCAAGAGACAGAATCCAGACCCTTCTGAGGCACAGGCTGGTCCTTAGTCCAGGTTACCATTGCTGTCCAAGTGGGGAATGGTGGCTCTTTATAGTTACAAAACAAGTTGTTAAAAATGAGTCGAATAGACTGCAAATTTCACGGTATATGTTATTCTGAAAGACCAGAGTCCAGCCATGCAAATACCTTCACAGGGTTTGGCACAAAACCTATCTCTGCTCACATAAAGCATTATACTGGATTTTTGTTTTTGATGTACAATGAAATCAATCTATAATTAATCTGGGTAAAAAGGTTCAAAACAGGAAAAAAAATGCATATGTTCTGTTGGCAAGGACAAGAAAAAAAAACAGGTCAGCTTGCACAAGGGAAAGGCTAAATAATGTTCTGTTTAGAAAAGGAAAAATGTGCCTGGTTTGCTTTCTGGGTCATCCCTTCTAGTTTCTAAATATAATTACAAAATCCACTGGTTTTATTTAACTAAAGAAGACTCCCACAGGTCTTTACTCAGCATTATCTGGGCTTTGGAATGAACACCAGAAGTAAAAAATGTATCATTTCCCAGTTTTAACTGTTTGTATTTAATTGAATAAAAGCTGGGGAAAGACTGTACCCCGACACTGCTTCCTTAGAAGATCACAAACTCCGAAGAGACGGGTTTTGTGCCAAACCCCACAGAGTTCCACTCACTCCCTCCCTCAAAAAACTTTAAATGCCAAAGTTCACCGGACAAGTGCTTTTACCCTTTTGATTAGCGCTCATCCAATAAGAGTTGAGAAGGGAGGGGGGGGGGAGAGAAAGTTTGAATGGGTCTTTAAGAATACAGCACAGCTTGAGAGGGGGCCTGAGGGAGTGTGGGCAATGAGGGGAAAGGATTGTTTTCTTTACCGAGCAAAATTCTCAATAAGGAAAAGCAGATCTGAACACCCCGTTTTTCCCGAATTCTCAAATGCCAAAGGGGAGGCATTAGACCCGGTCCGTATTAAGTTCTCGCCCATTACAGATGCAGCGCAGAACTGCTTCTTTCTTAAAATCAGCTTTGCACGACACACAAATGTGAAGAAGGTCTGGATGCGTCACGTTGCTCGGTAACGATGAGGAATGAGTCCACATGAAACACCTGCAAGCTCTACTTTCACACAGACAATCAAGATAACATGCAATTCACTGCTCTGAGCCGAAGCCCAGAACTGGCTTCAGCTACCGGGTGTATGTAAAAAACACGCAATTGTTTAGTTTTGAAATCACTTTTTCTGCACTCGTTTTCATTCCGGGTGGGAAAAACAAGCTGAAAAGCCAAACAAGAGGCTGGAACAGCACCCAGGCAGCAGAGGCCTGGGCTTCTTTAAGAACAATGCATCACTCAAGGACTTCACTGTATGCAGCATGTCCACTGCCGTGCTGCAGGATGCAGCAGCCAAGCTGAAACACCGCGGGCTAGTCTCTAAGCCAGTCAACCGAGCCGTGTCCCCAAGTGACTGAAATTTCTAAAGCCTGCTGGTCACGAAGAGAGTTAATCTTGGGAATCGTTGTTTAAATCACCTGTTATTAGGCTCCTCCAGTCACTTTCCTGCATCTCAGCGCTGGAGTTCACTGCATGTTCTCCCAAATCCTCGAGCACTGACCAAATCTCATTACCCATTCCCTTCCCCAAGGCCTTTGTCGCTGTGCACAGACGGACAATACAAAGAATGGACACTCACCCCCCACTCCTCAATAGGATTGCAGCACCACCTTAGACTTTGATCTCAGGAATCCCCTGAGCGCTCCCGGTTGTTAAGCTGACATGATCCACACGTTCGCCATCCTTCTGCAGCAGAGTACCTTTAGACCACCAGCTCCCCAGTCTCACCCCTCCCAGTCCCTCTCCAGTTCCAGCCAGTGGAGGGAGCTGAAAATATCCGCCGTTGTTTACTTTCCCACAAGAAGGAAGGAGTTCTCATCCACACTGTCCGGGCTGTTGCAGCTCTTAGGATGAAGAAACTCCCCTCTCTCTCTCTCTCTATCCCTCTTTCCCCATTGCTCTGGCCCCTCCCTCTCCCCCTCCCTCCCCTGCTGCTGGAGATCAACAGGCACAGCCCCAGTGCTGGCAGCACAAAAGCCTGCAGCCTCTCCCAGCCAATGGCGTCGCTCAAAAGACTGCTTTCCAGCCAATCAGAGCGTCGCCTGGAGAGCACTGCATATTCAAGACAAGTATGGGCGGTAGGCAGGGAGAGCATGAGAGCAGGAGGGACAGAGAGGAGAATCCCACTAAACGTCCACATGCCTGGGACAGGCTCCAGCTGGATGGATAACGTTCGGAAGTTCCCAGCAGCAACCCAGCCGAGGCACAAGCAAAGGACACGCAGATAAAGGAAATCAGAAGGACGGTATTTTTTCCCCTCACTGATGCTTCGGGACCTATGTAGAATAAAGCAAGGGTCCTGGCCAACAACAGACTTGAAACAAGTGTTTTGATGTACAGTACAGAGACACTGTGCTCACGAATAACACAAGGCTATGATTATTTTAAGCATCTACCAAAACAACTGCCTCCGGAATGTCATTTTCGTAAATGAAGTTAGAAATCATTAAATAAATAGACACAGTTACAGTACAATTTCTAATCAGTAGCAAGTGTATACTGTAGGATGCCTGTTCAAAAACATCTGAAAATACTGTCATTCCAAAGGACCTTTGAGGTTCTGAGTTTGTATACACCTATACTGCATATTTCTCAGATATTTATTCCTGCGGACCTGTCATTTACAAATCCCAATTTTATTTAAAAAGCAGTAATGTACCCTGATGGGGTCATTATAGTACTATCTCATGTGTAACTGTCATGATTTTTCTTTGCTTCGTGGCAAACAGGCAATGTGACTTTTGGCAGAAGCTATATGTTCCTGTCATATAGCCTACTGATACAACTAAAAACCAAAACAGCTCATTTGAAATAATTTCACTGTACAAGGGGTCAGAGTACCATAGTAGTTGTGCCTCGAGTGAGGTACTGTACCCCAGCTGTGTAAGTGGGGAGCAGCACTGCTGGGGGGTAACTCTGTGATGGACTTGGGTCCTGTCCAGGGAGGATCATGTGCTCTGAAGTCCACTGAACACTACAGAAACCATCCTGAGCTCTGGCCTGATGAGCTACTGTGTTCTCGTGTAAATTTGCCCTTTCTTTTCACCTTTATAAAAGCGCAGTTAACTTGCCCTTATTTTTTCTTCCAGTTGTAGACAGCAACCACCTTCAGGTGTTCCTCTGACACATGGAGTGCTGGTTCCACCTGGCCTCTACCCACATCAGTTGAAACCCAGTTTTGAGATACTGTATATCTACTCATCCTTTTAACCAGAAAGCCAGCTATTCCTGGTAAAGATCTCAGCATCAAAGAGACCAAGCCAAAGGCACAGGGAAGTTTACATTCTTTAAAAACCCACGAGTGCCAGATGGTATATATGCACACATTAAATATGCAACTGAACATCGGTATCTGGCTACTGTGCGATCATTTGTCAATTTGTGCGAGCTGACAAAGGCATATACCGTCGTGAGAAAACGCCCAGGGCTCCTGAAAAGGACAGATGTAATAATAAATTATGATTTAAAGTAAACCCTGTTTAAGCAGGAAAGGACATTACGTGCACAACACTTCAAAATATTTGAACTAAAAAGCCATGCTTAGCAGTTCCCCCTGCTACCCAAGAATTTCTGTGCGCTAGTGACATTGTATCTACTAACAAAAATATTTATATTTAATTTTAACTATCAAAATTGTTTGGTTGGTTTGGGTTGTTGCACCGGAAACGTGGATAATAGGAACACGTGGGCAATGTCAGCTTTGTATATTCACACTTTAAACCTCTCGTTTGTACAGTAATTCGTTATTATTTTATTTCGTTTTTTTTTATAGGATTTTCTTACGGGTACCAAACCCATCTACCAGAAATCCTCTTCATAACTACATACTGTACATACTAAATCCCGTTATTTTTTCTCCCATTTTATATCCATAATAGAAAAGCAATTGTTATTATATCTACTAGTACTATTTGAGAAGAGAGTTACAATATTTACAATGTCCTCCTACATTCATCTTTTACTTTTTTCCCCAGCTCTTCTCTTACCTTGGTTCTACCTGGGCGAGCTGCGGTCACGGTAACTTTTACCGCGTGACACGGAAGTTCAGGTGGTTGTCACGACGTTTCGGGTAAAATGTATTTTTCTTGAAACAGAAAAAAGACAGAAAACACCAAAGGAAACTTTTGCGTACTGTACAGCGGTTAAGTCACCAATCTTTAAAGGAAGTTTGTTTTATGGCAATATTATACACGGAGTATCTATAATTATATATTCTTCAGGTGTTGCTCTACAACCTAAACGTTGAGTTCTTTCTTCTCTTTTCAGCATGGAATAAACCTTTACTTGTTCCTTTGCAGCCTACGCATGCTGACGCAGCTGCCCACCTGTAATAATTCTTTATATTTAAATATCATACCTGGGTGGTGCAGGACAGCCATCATCTACCAACAAGCACTGCTAAAAATCAGGAGAGGTGAGAGATATTGCTTCACCAATTTAATCAAGGGGGAACTTTATACAAACCCAGAGTAGAATTTAGCCAGGATACCTAATGTTATCACCTCCCATCACCCACAAACTGTTCCACTGGATCTTTAACAACCTCATCATCAAGACCTCAGATAAACTTCCCATCTGCAGGACCTACAGTACTACAGTGCAGTGTCCCCGGGTCACATACTGTATGTGTGCATGGGTTAGGAAATGCTGGTCCAGATGAAAGGGCGCCATCTATTGGTCCATCAACACCACTGACTGTAGCTTTCAATACTGGTCTCCCATTCCAGAGTTGAGCAAGCCCAGCCCTCAGCTTGTGAGATCTGATATACAGTACTACTACAGAGTGGATTGTAGATGTATTTGTAGATATCACTACAAGATGGTGACGGTGTGGTATTTAAACAATACAGTCCTAATATAAAGCAATGGGTGTACCAGCCATTAACATGTTTACAGAGACATGTATCCTGGCTACAATGTGAATTTAAAAAGTCATGATGAACTCATAATACCTCTTTGTATTTTTGGCACTAGGGGGTGAATGGTTGTCATTAAGTGAGTCAGTTATCACAAATGCAACCTAGAAAACCCAGAAATATTTGACGAGTTATCTCAAAATTGAAACAGTAGCTAAGTGATCCAAGAATCCCAACCAGCCTTTGGTTGAAGGAAACCTGGGTATTGGCTTCAACATCAAGGCTTGGCAGCTTGTTCCAGACTCCCACTACTCTTTGTGTACAATGGTGCCTCCCCTCCTGACTGAGGACCTCATCCAGCTGTGTCCTTAGAGAAGCGAGGGTATTGGCTTCAACAACATGGCTGGCCAGCTTGTTCCAGACTCCTACCACCCTTTGGGTAAAGTGTAGCCTCCCGTTCTAATTTTGTTTAAGTAATGTCATATAATTTCCACTGGTGTGCTGTGGTTTGTATTTCAGTGATTATTCTGAAGACATCTGGTGGGTAGGAGCCTTTGAGGATTGTATACTTGTCTCAGGTCCCCTCATTGTTGTCTCTGCTTAAGACTAAAAAGGTTCAGTTCCATCAGCCTGTCAGTGTAGTAGATTCCCCTAAGCCCCGAACATGCCTGGCTGCTCTTCTCTGGCCAGAGCAGCAAATTATTTCTACAATGTGCCGACCAAAATTGTATATAACCTAAATGAAAGCTTAAATTACTCTGTTTTGATTATATAACCTAAAAGTGAAGAATTCAGTTTTTAATGAGTCAATAGCCCTACTTCCAATAACAGGTCTGGGGGGTTTGTAAGTCAATTCAATGCATTAGCAGTAGAATGAAAATATAATATACAGCTGAAAAAAAACTGATCTTAAATGCATTTATACAACTGTTGTTTTACCGTTTCAGTTGGGTTCACCCCAGTGTGACAAATGATTAAAAGCATTGTCTATAAGTAATAAACGGAAATGACAGCATATTTACTTACTGCTAACAAAACCATTAATGTCACAACGAGATGTTTAGAAATTTGCATAAAAGAAGATAACATTTTACAAAAAGGCACCTAAAGCTTACATGGAAATATTTTAAATGTATAAATAAAAACGTATATAAAAATGTATAAATGAAAATATTTCGCAGGAAAAAAATTGTAAAGTTATTTTGAAACGTTAACCTGCTGATAAAAAGATATTAACATGTTACTAAATATATATCCTTTCAACAGTATTTCAACCTTTTTCCTACAAGCTACCAAGTAAGGTCCTCATTTGAGCAACCAATAGGATAAAAACAAAACAACAAAAAATATACGTTTTCAAAAACCTTTTTTGGGGGGGAGGGCGCCGTGGGCGAATTCGTATATTTTTTTGATGTTCTCCCTAATCCGATTGCTATAATTCAGCGTTGTTTTGGGAATTGGACATTTTTCACATACTGTCCTTGTTTCGGACAGAACAGTTTCGTGTGCAAGTGGTTTGCCGAAACCGGCACCTCCCTTCCGAAGAGTCTGTTGTAAAAAAGGAGGGGGCCGGGCAGGGTTTGTACACTACTTTCCGAGGCGACCGAAAGACAGAGAGGCGTTGTCCACCTTCTCAAATCCGCACTATCGCGCCGCTAAACCGAATCAATCAACCCGGGTTTTAGCCGAGTCTTCCGAGCCGCCAGAGGGCGGTGTTCGTCCTTTGTTTCGCTTTATTCCACTTTTTTTTTTTCCTCTACTTCAGCGAAGTCCTTCCTTTTTTTTTCTCCCGGCTCCCCATGTGTTTCTGTTTTGTATGTTGCATCTTGGGCTCATATTTACATTTTTAACAAAAAGACTGACAAGAGACGGCGCAGGGAGGAGGGCCTAAACCTACAGACCTTCCTTTTTTTTTTTAAAGACATAATCGGATATCTACATTTGCAGCGATCGCCTCCAAATCACAGGTAATAAATGTACGGGAAAAAAAAAAGATACAGATCCGATAGCGTCGCGGTTCTTTTTTTTTTTTATCCCGGCTGTGGATGAGGGGTTTTATTCTTTCGGGAAAAGTTTGGTATCGGAGGTTTGGTTGTATATTTTCGCTCCCAGAACCCGGTGCAGAAAATTGACTTATTTAATGAATGTAGATCGCGGGGCACCCACGTGGTTTCAGCGAGCAGACTGCAGCTTCTTTTGTTCAAAATCAATCAAAAAAGGAGGAAGACGGACGGATAGCAGAAGAGAGCCGTGAAAACCAGGAAGAAAATCCCAGAAGAAACCATAAAACAAGACCGAAGGAGCTTCCAGAGTTTTTTTTTTCCCCCACCAACTTAAAACTTTACGGAGGTGCGGTAGAAAAAAAAAGTTTGTTTGGCGTTATTTGTTGTGTATTGAGGTTTGTAAGCTTGAATGATTATACATTGATTTTGATCTGCTTTTTTTATTTTTTATTTTAAAAAAAAGGATCGGTTATAAATACTGACTTTTTCATGCCGCTTTTTAAAACAAAAACCGAGATCGAGCGATCGTTCCGCCTAATTGTGCTTAATTACAAAGTGTCTGAAGAAATGTCTTTTTTTTTTTTCATCCACCGAGCAGCCGGGCTGCGTTTGAAACAACAAAGACTCAGCTGAGACGCGGCTTCGGTATATATATTTTTTTATGTTGCCGATTCTATTTTCTGCCCGTTTCTACAGTCTAGATACGTTTTGCTCTTCCATTTGCAACTTTCATGAACTTGCCGCGATCTCGTTTTTTAAATTTACACAGAAAGGCTCGTTTAAGCGAACGGAACGGTTATCGGATTAGCAACGGTGCGAGCAGGAGCTGTTTAAAATGTAAGCTTTTTTCTCGTCCCTCCTGGTTTTGTACAAGAAGCTTTTGTTACGGGCGATCGAGCCAGTCAGACGTTTTGTTTCTGTACACCGGGAGCGATAATACAAAGACAAAACCCTCGTCTTGAGCTAGATTTAGCCCGGAACTGGGAATATTTTATACGGTATAGACGCATTTATCGACGCATTTCAGTTGCGTGGTATGCCTTCGTGAAGCGTTTTTCCTTTCCTCTCACCCACGCAGAATTAGTCTGTCAGATACCAGGTTAATCATATTTCGCGATATAAGGATGGATCTTGGTGAGTTCGGGATGCTGAACTGCTGGGATCTCTAAAACATTCACATCGATACGGGTTTTTAACACCGAGACACTGAAAATGCGCTTTCGCTACATCCGAAAAAAATAGCTCACCCGAAAAAAAAAACCTCAAAAAGTATGCAGAATATCTCCGGTTGGACGTTTATATGTGTGTTTAATGAGCATAAAGTATGTACTCGGACTTCAAAAGGCCCCTTGTGAACTGTGAGGATGTCATTTGTTAGCCGCTGTGTTTCAGCTGTACTCCTGCAGCTGACGGACGAATTCGTTGCAGGTGATAATTAGCGTAAATGCAGTAATTACCAAGAAAGGTGTGCTATTAAAACACAATTACAGGGGCTGCATTTTGCGCTCCGCCGCCGTAGAATTTATCAATCTAGGGAACAGGGTGGTAAATTTCTGGATATGCTGTGCTCCACAAAGTTTGTTTGAAAACCGGATTTTTTCCAGTCGTTATTTTGCAGTCGTGATCATCCCGGGAAGTCGCGCCTTTGCAAAACTGTTCTGAATGCAAGTATATTTCGTTCTCGCCCTGCTTCAGTCCTGAAGACATCATTTCCTGTACCCTGCCTTGTAGTTTAGTGCCAAAGCTCTGACATCTTTTGGGATGTGAAAAGTGGAAACCTAACCGATTCGTTCCGTTTTAGGTGAAAGCGCAGTTTATTTTTTTACAGTCTCGGAAGAGCTGTGCATCAGTTTTATTGCAGCACATGCTTGAAGTGCATATGGAGATTGCAGTCATAGGCGAAGAAGGGAGCTCTGGACTTGTAACTGGAAGTCTGTGGGTTCAAATCCCAGTAGGAGTCCTGCGGTTTTAGTGGTTAGAAAATGCTATGTCCAATACAGGATTGCAGGGGAGCAGAGCCTATCCCCACAAGGTCATCCATTTCAATAAAAATTCGCGGCTCTCAGTGATATCATCACTTTTGATTAGCCCAATGAATTAAAGAATTAAAAACATTGCATGAAGTGGGGGAAGAATATGAAATGAATCATTTTAAAACCATGCATCTTAAAGATGACAAATGTGAATCTTGCAGGTTTGCACCCTAAATGATCCAAGACAAACAGAAATCCCGAAGGATTTTTTTATAGTGCATTTCTTCCTATATATATAGAAGCTTTAAGAGTTTTTGTGGATGAACAGTGCAATACAGAAGCAAGGAATTGTATAGGTGGAAAGCTGAGAGTACAAAGAGGCAGTTTTAGGATGAAAAATCAGCTTTCATGGGCAAGGATCACAGGGAAAGTCACAGTTGTGGTCAGAGCAAGGTACTCATTTGTTAAGGGCGTTTGAGAATTGGCTAATTTAAGTATTTAAGGGTGTGACAATATGCAAATCCAGAGACTTTGTCAGAGTTTCTGAAAAAGGCAAGGACTGTTTCTTGCTGTTCATTGTTAAGATGAAGGAATGTTCCCAAAAACACAGCCCTTCAGTTAGCGAGTGTCGTAGTAACACAGTAACGGAGAAGAAAGACTTGTGTAGCGTTAATAAGGAAGGATGGTTTGCTGTTAACAGCAGTGATCCAAGATGCATAGATAGAACTGTTGCATTGCTGTTTGTTAATAAGGAAGGGAAGAGTCGTGTGTTGATTTGGCACCAGGACTCCCCTGACCTGCCCGAATCAATGAATGGGGAGTTTGGGAAGCTGCTAGCCAGGCTTGAGCCCTTTCCTCTGCTGTGCTGTTTCTGTCCTAGTTCCCTGGCTGCGAAGGTGCTGAAAACGTGTGCACCTGGTTGGACCAGAGCAGATGACACTGCTTGATACAGACCTCGAGGTTATTGATCTGTCTTCTGCGCCTACAGAATGACACGCAACAGGACCTTACCCCAGTTTTGGCATGGAGGGGTAACTTTTTCCCCCATCTCAGTGGCTGCAATAGAAGCTGTCACACAATCTTTTCATCATACCTCACTTACTGGAGACTTTTGCCTTCTTTGTACCCCATGTCTTTGGCTCAGATGGGGTGTCTGTGCGGTTCAGCTAATGCCCTTGCCTGTCTTCTGACTGAGAACCCATATCTGTCTCCTCTCATGGTGACTTTCAGTCTCATAAAACCTTGGGGATCCGAGCACAGCAGTTACCCTCCCTCAGACCCAAACACTTAAGGTCATGCCACACTGCCAAAATAAAGCAGGGAAGTGTCTCTGGGATTTTCTTTCCTATTTACTTAGTAGATGCCTTTATCCAGGGAGATTTGCAGTACATGCTAAGGTCAAGCACATTTTGCTTCAGTTTTTCTTGAAAAGGTCGTTAGCAATAGTTTTTTTTTTAAATTGTTTTTCCTCCTCATCTTTTGGTTACAGTGACCTGTTTAGCAACACTCAATCAAGTCTTGAAGCTGCATCTGTGATTGCGCCATAGTGACATTCTACCTGTTTTTCTCCCGTATGATACATTTCTAAAGCTCTGCCAACAGTAATAGTGAGAATTTTACACCAGTTTCACACGAAGTGAAAGAAGAACTATGACAGCTCAGACTTTTCCGAGATGCAGATGCTCTGCGATGCAGAAGTTATTTAGGACGGTATGGTGCCCAAATTGCGATGCAGTGTGCTCATCAAAATAACCTAGGACGAATGTGTGCTATTCGGTGCGATATTGCTGAGCTGGATCAACTCTTCCAGACTTTTGTCCAGCTCCTCGCTTTCCCCATGCCGGGGAACCAAGATTAAGACCTGGAATCGTTTGATTGTCATCAAATGGAAGTGAATTGTTCAAATTCATTTCGCTATCCATTGGACTGGAAGGTGTCATTGATTAAAGGAGTTCCTTGAGTGGAGTGTGTTACTTCTTTAATTGAAGGAATGACTTGCGCATGTTGCTACACTTTAGAACCAGGTGGGGGAAAAAAAACAATCTATAGGATTGAGTTTCTCATGGATTGTAGTTGGATACCCATGATCTAGACTTGGAGTTACTAGGTAGCATTTCCAGTTATATGTGACCATGCATACTGGTGACAGCTCCACAGTCTCTTCACAAACCTGTGGGTGCCATTGCTTTGTTCCTGGAGCTGATGTGTCATCAGAGTACATGTTCATGCGGTAGAACCCACATGAAGATACAAGTAGTGGGCAAAAAATGGCAGCTCCAATCTAAAGTCAGTTAACAGGGCTTTGGGTCGGTCCTGCCTGTGTCTGCCATGACTAGTCTACCAGAGTCTGGAAATCTGCTGCAGGGATGCAGCACTGTTCTTCCTGGAGGTGGGAAATGCTGTCATTCCAGAATATCCCTAAATACTCAACTGGGTTCCGATCAGGTGGCTGAGAAGGCCGTGACCTATGGGTAACATCAGTGTTATATTTGTGTCCTCCATGGCTCATCACTGAGCGATCCCACTTGCTCTGTGGGTAGGTGTTGTCATGCTGGAAAATGCCCGTCCTGTCGGGAAAGAAGTGCTGTAACCCCACTGGAGTCAGTTCAAGACCGGGGGTGCCATCTGTGTGGCGTTTGTGTGTTCTCCCTGTGTCTGCGTGGGTTTCGTTCCACAGTCCGAGGAGATTCTGGTAGGTTAATTCAGAACTGGGAAATCTGGCCCTGGCGTGAGTGGCGTCCCCTCCAGGGTGTATCCTGCTCTCTGCCTGTTGCTTGCTGGGATAGGCTCCGGTTCCCCTGCGACCCTGAATTAGTTAAAGATAATGGATGGATATTCATTCGTTGTGTCAAAAAGAATATGTTACAAAGGCTTATTTATAAATGTTGTTTAGCTACGCAAGCTATAATGACCTACTCTACTCCCTCTTGCCTCAGCCCCAGAAATATCTTAATTAATCTCCCTGAACAGTAATTGAGGAATAACCTTGATTATTCATGCGTTCATGGACGTAAAGTTAGCGGGAACCCTCTTTTAAACGCCTCTCGTCCCATCTGACCCAGTGCCTTTGGTGTCGTTTTCTTCTCTCTCAGACGCCATGCCACGCAAGAAGGTGACCGACGTCTCGGGGAACGGGGGGGTGAAGAGGAAGAGGGCAGGGGGCCGGAGGAAGGAGCGGGACTTCAGCAGCGACGACGAGTTTGACGACTTCGAGCAGGAGAACGCCAAGAAGCCCGGAAGGCCGGCCGCCAAGTCGGGCCTGCAGCCCGTGACCGTGGCCGAGGACGTCAAGGAGAAAATAGTAAGACCCCCCGTGGCGCTCGGCCCTGCCGTCACACGCTGGCGGTGGGAACTCCTGGGCCCTCTTTATCGTCGGCCTCTGCAGGTGGACAGTTGCAGTTCTGTTTCCTCCATGTATAGAAATAGACTGTCGGGTTTTTCTTTTCGGTCTCTTGACGAGCCAGAGGGCTGGAGAATCCTCAGGGACCAATGCAGCCTTCCTCCTTCTGTGTCTCTGATTGCTTAATTGAACTAATGTAATTATACCAGCTTTCTTGGACCTGCAGCTGTTGTAGATTGGAGGCTACTTATAAAACCAGCACCACTGCCAGCGTAGTAGCGTCGTGGTTAGGGCTCAAATCCCATGTGTAGACATGCTTTTATATCTTGAGCAAGGTACTTCACCCTAATTCCTGCACAACTGCACAAATGGTGAGTTAACCTAAGATAGTCTCCCATCTATAGGAAGTCTTAATACTCTTCTTGCCTAATGGGACAGAAACCAGGATGAGCTCCAGCTTGGGAAGGAGTTGAAATCCTTGCAGGATGCTGACGCTGGAGTCAGGATTCAGGCTTCCTCTCTGTCCTAAGCCATCACTAATCTCCCCTCTGTCGATCCTTGGCTGCCTTTACTGCAGTGTGTATAGTCAACTAGTGAGGAGCCCTGCTTTGCACTGTGGGTATTGTTGCCTTGGCTTGTTTTCTAACACGAAAGGGGCTTCTCCAGAACTCACCACCTCAGTCATACTCACAGCAACATACGTGAGCACATGTGCAGCCTGGCAGTGGCCCAGCCATGAAAATCCTACTCTGTAGTGACCTGCAGAACCTCAAGGATCAGGTTGTAATGATAAGGGCTCATAACCTGTTCACCTCCTGCTCCTCTGAACTTGTATATTGTTCTCATTGCTGAGGGTTTCTAGATTCAGGGTGTGGGAGGACTGTGCTTTACATGGAGGTGTTGCTGTGGCTTTCACGTCTCAAATACAAGGGAAATCATGAGCTGGTCTCCTGAATAAAGATTCAGATCCATCCGACCCAGCAGAGATCAGTCGCTTCAGCACAGTGTTCTCGAAGGGAATCGGGGCTGAGCTGGTCTGCCCTTCCTACCAAGTAGAGGAGGTCTGTGGTAAGTGGTCAAAGGAAATGAGCAGGGTGTAGTTGCAGGGAGTTATCTGTACACATGGTTATTTTTATCCAATTAAGAGCCAAGTTGTGAAAAGTTCTACGTTTTCCTGTAGTGGCCCAGGGTGGCCTTCATTGCTTGTGCCTCACTGGGATTTATTTTAAATTCTGGGAAAAGGCTATGGGAATGGGCTGCCTCTGTCCTGAGAGTGCGTTTTCTTGGCTGATGGACCATTTCAGCAAATGATTTCTGTTCATTTCAGTTGTCAAATTTTGATGATGAAGTAGTATAATTGTGGACTATGCTGGCAGTGTTATTTAGCCCAGCCCAAGTATTATGCCTACTTTGTGATTTAAAGTTTGTTTTGGCAAAAAAAGCTAAAAAATGCCACATCACCAGTTTACAGTGCCTCTACTTTTATATTCCAGTGCCACAGGGACAGTCATCCTAATCGAGTGTGATATGGCTTAGGGCAACTGCATTAAATAGATGAGTTATGAAACTGACCCACTACAAGGACTCTCAGGTTTCTAGATGGGTTTAAAAGCCTGTCTTATCTGCAGCAGCTACAGCTCCTGCCAGTCTCTGTTGCTGTGCCCACATTGACGATGCTGGTTTCTGTCTCCAGTTCTCTCTGGAGTTTCAGTTCCTGTTATCTTGTCAGAGGGAATGGCTGGTACTGACGTCACGTGCTGTCGTCGTGAGATCCGTTGGTACTAGTGGAAAGTTGTAGTGCACGCCCACACAGGAATAAGAAACGAACTGAGCCCACAAAAACAAAAGCATCAGCTCTTCTTGTGGCTGAGCACAGGAAGGTGTGCATCGTAGACTCAGTTGGGGAGTGAGGGGTGGGACAGAGAATAACAAAATAACTGGTAGACAAGTTCTCTTCAGCTTGAGGCTTCTGTTTAGTTCTTACAGCCTTTCTTTCAAGTCCAGTTAGGCTTCTGTCGGGAAGAGTTTGTTGATTCATTGCTTTGGGATCCTTCAGAAAACAGTCTGATTCTGCGTTAAGCAACACTTGAGTTGTAGGACTCCAGCAAACTAGGATGGGACACTCAGGCCATGTCAGCACAATTTCAAAACCTGATTGATGTGCCCACAAGATAAATCATAAATGAGCACAGTTCAGTTGAGAGGAGTGACCTTTGCACATGTGACTTAACTGGAGCCCATGAATACACAAGTTTTTCTTCCTTTGCTATTCCCAAGCAAATGAGGAGGTGTTAGGTAATAACAGACCTGTCTCATGCTGTCATGTAGACGTTTACCTGATGAGCCTTTAGGGTACGGCTGACTGGATTCTGACCATCTGATATTACCAGGCAACTGCAGCTGTAACACCTGATTCGTTATGTTGCAAACGGTATATCATTCAAAAGGGGTCAGTTGCGGTGATTCTGTCTTTAACTTTTTTACAAATTTAGGAACAGTGTGTCCAGCAGTGCAGTCATTATAGTGCAATAGTGGTGAGCGCGCAGCGATTCCAGATCGGCATTCGCCCGCGGTCCTGTCCCCTGCCCAGTATTTTTGCTCTCCTCTTTCCGTAGAAACTCGACAGCCCCAAGGTCAAGGGCCAGCTGCTGATTTTCGGAGCCACCAACTGGGACCTGATTGGCCGGAAAGAGGTGCCCAAGCAGCAGGGTAGGTGCCGCCGCCACACGGCGGAGCTCCCCGTTCACAATCCCTCTCCCTTTAGCTCGTTCAGTTGTAGAACGAAAGCGGCGATTCAGTGTGACCGACAGGGTTACCTGGTGAATGGCGAAAAGGTAAGTGTCAACAGCAAGGGGTCTCGGCTTATTTCTGCAGACACACCGTAATTCTCATTTAAATTAATTGTTTTTTTCAACGACATCTTATAAGAAAAACAGGAGATGCAAAGAAATGGCTTCTACTGAGATGTCCCTTGGTCTTTTCCCTAAATAAGTCATTACCTTGTCCTTACAGAGGATTGGTATGTGTGTGTGAGGGGGGATCCATTGCATCCTTTTCTCCAGAGTCCTTGTAAATGGATTCCCCATCTTCAAACTGAGGTCCAAGGCGGCTTAAGGTCCCTGGTGCATCACAATGGGTCCAAGGCCGGGCTGCGATGTTAGAGTACAATTGTGAAGCGATTCTTTCCGTGGGCATCCTGTAATCTCCCCCTCTACAGCATCTACCCCCCCCGCCCACTTCACTTGGTGCTATGACAGCTGTTGGAGGAGGAGGCTGTGGTCAGGCAGATCAATTCAGGATCAATTGTGGAGAGAGCGTTCTTTGCTCGATTTTTTTTTTTTTTCCCCCGATGCGCCATAGCCGCCAGGACTGAAAGGCGGGAGGCACAATAACTCTGTGGGGTGTCCCGACGTACTAATGGTGTCCCAGATGGTGGGTAAACTGGCTGCACGGGACTTTCCTAGACATGGGGGTGCACTCTTGTCATGCCTGCTATGTTCTGCACAGATACAGCCTGTAGCAGTGGTTTGTCATCAGTTCCGCTTAAAAAGTGCATGTTGTGTTATCGTGCCATCGGTGTATTATACAAGCACCTTATGGCCTGCATCACAAATACATGCTTAATGAGGCACATCGGGACAAGTAAAAGTTTATTCCATGCTGAAAAGAAAAGAAACACAGCGTTTGACACCTGAAGAAGGCTCCACAGCAATTTTCTTCTTTCAGCGTGGAATAAACCTTTACTTGTTCCTTTGCTGCCTACGCATGATGTCGCAGCTGCCTGCTTGAACTACCCGATGAGTGATCCCTTAGAGTTATTCCTGAGTTTCTTCTGGCCCGAGACCAGAAGGGAGACTAGATGTGTTCCTTTTCGTTCAGCTCCAGCCCCAGCATGCTCTGCGGCCCACGTAGTGAAAATCCTCCTTGCTTTGTTCCAACGTGTTTTGATATTCCGTACTTTAAAAAAAAACAAACAGATAGGGTAAATGAATTCCTGGTGCAGGTAATTAATCTGTCACTTAAGTGTAAAATTCCAGCACCCAATGCGTTTGCATTCCAGCAAAACCTGAAGCACGTTTAAGTACGCTGAAAAGAAAAGTATTAAGACTTAATTAGCACTGTCTAGTTTTTAGGTGGTGGAGAAATTGAAAGATTCATGTTGCCCTTGAATTATAAGTTCGGGTTCACTGAATTAACATGAGTAGGTGACAGGTGTAATAATTGACTGCTTTTATTTACACAGCAGTACTGGCTTTGGGAACCAAATGACTTAATAGTGCTGTTTTGTTCTTGACAGCGTTAAAGTTTAAAGTTGGTGGGTGATTCATATCCTCACTGATATAGAACTGGCAGTCATTGAAACTGTTGGGCTCGTTTTTGTGTGTAGTCTGTACTACACCCGAAGAATTGTAAGAATGTGCACAAGGATAATTGAAGAATGTGGAAAACTAAATGCTGCTTCTCAAGGCTCTGACAGCATCTTCTGTCTGTCAGCGTTAATAGTTGTGAAGGACAGCAGCACTGGGCTTGTCTCTCATTTCAAGGCTTTTTGCGTGATAAGACAGGTTTTCTGAAGCATGGAAGGAGACTGGCTGCCTGGTATCTGAATCTCTGCCATGGCTCATTGTTCCAATAAACTGAAACAAGTACTATTTTGCCTTGTTTCCCTACCTTACATAATCACGTTTGTGCACCAGTCAGTGGCTAGCCTAATTATTTTGCATTGCTTGAGAATATTTGGCACAAGATGATGAGGTTCTAGCACATGTTCTAGTCATGTGCTTTATGTCCACATGACAGTGACTAATATCAAGGCGTTTCTGAAACGATTGCAGCGAATTAAGCTCTGCTTGGTGTATTCTTCTTGCAGGTCAAGTTGTCTGCTCAGATCAAAGCTGCTTGACATGTACAGTGTTAAGTCTGAGTCTAGATTCTGCAAATACATCCAACGCTTATCTTTCAGTGCGAATTCTGATCATTCTTCTTTTGCCCTTTCCGTGTTGGGGATATTGAATGTTTGTTTTATGAAATAGAAGTTGCCAGGGCTGGGGTTCGGTTTTAGGTAAAAGAAAGCAAACTAGGATGAGCAGATCTCATGTCTCTAGCTAGTTGTGTCTCTGGCATGTGTTGCCTTGGATCCCAGTCTCGTTCTTTTGTCTGACTAGGCCTGACAGCTGTGGCAGGCCCTGTCTGTTGTCTGCCAGACAGATTAGTGCCTTCACACAGGGTGCTGCTCCTAGAAAGTGGAGGCTTGACACGGAGTGTGGTTTAGAATCTGTTAGCGTTTAGACAAAAGTTATGCATGAGATCTGGCTCACACGGTTTCCTTATTTACATAAAAAAAAACTTTGGTGAATTTCTCTTCTACGTTGTGTTGTGGCAGTGGGTGTTGTTTGCACCGGCCAGCAGACAGTGCAATATCATTTCGTTTGGCTCGTTTCTCTCCGTTGGGGCTGTTCAGTGTTAGCTGCACGAAACACCATCTGGGAAGTCAATGATGGCTCTTTTCTTTTTCCAGAATCCATTGTGTTTGCACCAGAGGGAGGGGGGGAACCTTGAAGCTAAAAGCATTCTGCTAAATTGATAAACGGATCTAATGTGAAAACTCAAACTTGTGCACCTAGTCCCAGCTCCTAACCTAGTGTGGGCAAGTCTCTGTGTCATCCTAAGTGCAAAGAGCAATTCTGAAATTGTACTTAATAATAATAATAATATTGTGCAGAGCTGTTAGTTTTCAAAGTGGCTTGTAGCTGTTAATCAGAGCAAAGCTGATGCCTGAACTTGTGCATTTCAGTCCTTGATTTGTGTATTTTGCACAAAGGAATAACGTACGTTTACGTTACGTTATTCCCCCCTTACGTTATTCCTTTGTGCAAAATACACAAATCAAGGACTGAAACGCACAAGTTCAGGCATCAGCTTTGCTCTGATTTCCAGAACGCTCAAATCGGCTCGGTCTCACTTTTACCAGTCATCGGCCTGTACGTAAAACTGAGGGGCCTGCTCTCTGCATCTTCATAAATAACCTAATCTTTTCCCAAAGAAAGATCTGTCGCCTGCTTTCCTGAGGAGCCTGTAAAGACTGTCTTCTGTTGTCTCAGAACCAGGCCTTCACAGTCTGGGCTTCCTTTTGATCCCACGACGCTGACGCCAGTGACTCCTGAGCGATTCCTGACGCGCTCCATTACTCACGCCGCTTCTTGTGGCTGGGGGGGGTGGGGGTCTCCTCTGTGTTGTGACTGAGTGAGCCGGAGGGGGGTCGTCGGAGGAGCAAAATGACCCACGCTCTTGAGGGAAGAGGGTGTCGCGGGGGGCCGCAGGAGGGAGCGGAGCCTGATGTTGTATCTGTGTGTGTGTTCGACAGCGGCCTACAGGAACCTGGGGCAGAACCTGTGGGGGCCGCACCGCTACGGCTGTCTGAGTGGAGTGCAGGTCAGTGCCGTGGTGTCGGGGCCCTGCGCCGCACACAGCCTGCTCATCACCGCCGAGGGCAAGCTCTGGAGCTGGGGTACGTAGCAAGAGTCCGGATCTCTGACGCACACGGCTGGGTATAAAGTTGGCTAGAAAAGGCCTCCGATTAAAGAGAGCTTAGACTTATCCATACTGATCAAATATTTATTTGATGACAACACAACAGGCACAAGGTGACGATATTTCAAATGTATTTTGTTTCAAGTAATTGATCCCGTTATATCCCTGACTTTAAGAAATACGGGAGTGTGTTGTATTAGGGCTGTGTTTTGGAGAGATTGTTCTGGTGCCTGGTTGCGTGAGATTTCATTCACCTGTTTCTTAAGGATGAAATGGAAAAAAAGCTGTCGAAATTTTAATGAATGATGGCAGTGAAGGAACGCGGATTTCAGAATGGGCTGTGTCTAGAAATGAATGCTTGCCCCCTTTCCACCTCTTTCACGCCAGAGCCGTTTTGAATAGAAGGCCAAAATCATTTTCTTACAAATGACCAGCTCGGTATAAATAGTCAGAAGTAAACTGATAATGGGCACAAGCTGAAACAAGGCATCAGCAGCAGTGCGCAATGAGCCGACAGACTGACGATGTCTGAGAGCCTGTCTGTCTAAATTAAAAGGTGAATTTCTCTGCTGCTGTTTTTGGTTGGGAAGTCGGTGCTTAAATAGCGCGAGCATTGTTAAACAGACATGGAAGCATTGTCTGCTCTGCTTTGCCTTTGGGATCCTGTTAACCAGCTTGGTCAAGTGAAAGATGGCTAGTGCTAAACATTGATTTAATGTTATTAGACCCATTTATGCATTGTCAGTGTTTTGTTTCAGGTTTGTGTTCCTTTTGACTCGCATGCAACCCTGTACATGGAGAGTATGCAGCATATTCAATTCAAACGACTATTCATCCACAAGGGGGCAATTGAGCAGTGAGCAGTGCAAAATATATAAAAAATTAAAAACGAGAAAAGGACAATAAAATGATTATGAAAGTAAAAGTGTGCCATTTAAGGACTCTGTCCTATACTTCAAGCAAAATAATAATTAGATCACTGGATATATACAAATTTTTTAAAGAGCATGTACATTTTATCCAATAGAGAACATAGTGATAGTTCAAAAGACCGATGAAGGATGTGAGATGGGTCTTCAGTCTTCAGATCTTCACTCTGGGTGTTCCTTCCTCAGGGTTTGCTGGACTTAAACCCGTTCCAGTGGCGTTCAAGGCTCAGCAGTGATTTTAGAGCAGAGTTTTCTTTAATGATTTATTCTGTACGCGTCTGGGTTTTTTTTTGCGAGCATGCAGCGCATCGATCGCAGGTGGCGCTGCCACACGCTGTTGGCTCCGTTCGTCGGGCCCGTTTCCCGGCTGCTCCCGGGCTGACGGCTCTCCCCCCCCTCTCCCTCCCGCAGGCCGCAACGAGAAGGGCCAGCTGGGCCACGGCGACACCAAGCGGGTCGAGGCCCCCAAGCTGGTGGAGGCCCTGGGCAGCGAGGTCATCGTGGCCGCGGCCTGTGGGCGCAACCACACCATGGCACTGACAGGTTTGCCACCGGCGCGGCGCTCCGGACCCCAGACGTGGATAGATATCGCCCTGGGGTCTTTGTGTGTATTTAACACTTGTACTGGTGATGGCCGGCCTGAGATTATAGACAGCGAGGCGGTCTTATGATAGACGCCACAGCTGATCGGCCCGAAGTCCGCCAGCGGGTGCTTCTCTGAAAGTTGGCGTAGACGTTCTGTGTGCGAGGTAAAACATTCAGCAACCCCCTGGGGCTCCCGAGTGGCTCAACCAGTAAAGGTGTCGAATGGGGCTCGGCGATCTGGTCTGGCACCACCCGCAGTGGGAGGTAAGCCAGACCAAATTCGTTCAAACGAGCCGCAGTTTGCCTCGTGAAAAGGTGATGCGACCTCGTCCCCCTCCTGTAACATGCTCCCGCCATGAAACGTCCTAGAACTACAACGCGCCTCTTGAAACAAATTGGATTTGGCAAAAAGAAAAAAAGTTGTGCTCAACTGTCTTGATGGCCAGAAAATGTTAGCAAACTACTCGGCTTGTCCTCTCTGTTACTTAATAGCAGTTTGAAAGCCTGGAGTGATGTGTGGTCTCCTATATTGAGTAGAACGGCCCCAGCACTGAATTGCACCTCTGGGGCTCTGGTCAACATTCAACATTCTCTCAAGTCCATCACCCTCCTTTTTGTAGGCTGGCTGGTGGGGTTCTTCATTTCTTTGAAAAATCCTTTTGGGGGCTTGCTTATTGTTTTCGTGGCCAGTTTCTCAGGGCCTGGAGATTTGAGAGGGAGGCTCTCCGTGTGATTAAGGTGTGGCGGGTCAGCGGTCGGCGAGCGCGTCGTGTAGTTAACCTCAGCCGGACTGACTGCGAGTGTCGTCCCCCATTCTCTCTTCAGAGAACGGCTCCGCGTTTTCGTTCGGGGAGAACAAGCTGGGCCAGCTGGGACACGGCAACCAGACAGACGCGGTACCCACCCCTGCGCAGGTAAGCCCCCCCCGGACAGCTTCGGGGCCTCTTTTCTAAACCCCCCACGGGCCGCTAACAGGGATGCAGTCCTCTGTCTGAAGGCCAGAGCAGGTCCTTTCCCCCATTGCATGTTTTGAATGCCGGTCTTTGTGGGCCTGACCCTTTCTAAACTCAGTTAACAGCCACTTGGGTGTTGCCCTGCCATCAAGGCAAGTCAGTCATTTCTTTCTTTTTTACTGGAATTTAAATTTTGTTAAAATCTCGGGTAGGAGAAAGTAAGTCTAGTAAGGCTCCGGACTGCATTCCTGAGGCCTTTCATCAACACTAGGGCATGCAACACCATAGTAGTGTCCTGGCCTTTCTAAAAAAACACACACAAGTCCCAAAGAGTGATAGTCTCTCTCGTCCCACTAGTTTGAACAGGGCACATCTCCTCCTGTGACGTCAAACATGGGAACATGGGCCCAGCCTGAAGACCCCATGAGTGCCTCTGTCCCAACCGAGGGATTCGGTAGCCACATTTCCCCTTGGGGGAAAAAGTTTGTCTGCAGGGTTAACACAGCACCACTCTACCCTGTGAATATCTGGTTTATCACGTTTGCGCACCACTCTTCGTGTGCAGTGGGAGTTGAAAGATTGGTCAGAATAAATTGCGAGAAGCTAACAGAAGTAGCTCCTTCTTGATATGACTTCATAGAAACGATGAGTATTTCTCAGCTTCAATTAGTCAGTAGTGTAATACATCATGCCACCATTCCATTTTCTTTATCAATAACTGCATTCACCGGTTAAAATAAAAGCTGTCAAGATGAAAGTTACAAAACGGTGCAAAGAGATGCGTAAAATATAAGAATTGTTTTAATATTCTAGTAGACAAAATGCACTTAAGGTCCCATGGGCAGTATTGTATGAGCTCTAACATTTACACTATTTCCATTGGGTGCTAGTCTGTGAACCTTTTTAATATGAAGATCGTTCAGTTGCTTAAATTTATTTTCTGGGTCCGGGTGTTTTTTTTTTTTTCGTTTGCAAAGAACGTTTCCACAGAACAATTTGCTGGTAATAAACTACTTGTTCACAGCGGAGTGCTGGCGTTATTTTTAGTTTTCTAATTAAAATCATCCAGATACTTTAATTTAAAATTTGTATTAAATGTTTTCTGTTATGGAAGCATATGCTGAATACATTTGTAATTGTATGAATTGGAAAACCCTGGTTTATTCATTGTTGAATATCAAATTAAACCACTTTACATTAAATCATTGCTGTAGGTCCTTCACAGTGGCAGTATTACCTTATCAGTCTGTAAGGTTTAGCCAAGGCGCAATTACTGCAAATTGAAATTTTATTACAAAGGCCAAGCCTGAGAATAGCACAGAATCAGAAGAATACGTTTTCGAGTTTAGTGGCAGAGAAATTTAAGGTCAGCTAATGGCATCCGTTTTTAGAAAGAGAACAGTTTGGATCATGTTTAAGAAACCTTGATCATTGCATCCAGTTCCAGACATAAATATGAGACTAACTGGAAGTGTGGTGTGTTATTTACAGTCCTAGGTGAACTGGGCTTTGTGCTCATTTGCAAAATATTTTATCTTTAATATATTTACCATGACCCCAGTCTTGGCGTTGATGACAGCTACAGTGATTTTTTTATGTTTTGTCAACTGTCGTGTCTTTCAGTTAGCGATAATCAGTTAGATTTCGGCTAATCTTGGCATAATCCCTTCCTTTTTTTGGGCTATTTGCTTTTTTCTGTTCCTCAGAATATTTGATGCCACAGTTTCATTTCAGTAAAATGGTTTACTTACACTTATCGGCTTGGCTGATGGCTCTTTTTTTATTCAACCAAACATTGCCATGTCTCGCACTTGTATTTGTTTTACTTGTTCCATGTTGGCATCTACATGGGAAATATAGAGAGAAATGTTTAGCATATAACCATATATGTAAAACGTTGGCCGTAATGTTTTCTATAATAAATGCTTCTCATCCCTTAATGCAAAAATGCTAGCCCCCAATGAGGCATCAGTATGTTATACAATAAGACCTGCACTTAAATTACACTAAAGATGCCAAAATGTAACAACATTCACTCTGAAAAATTATCATGAGAATCCTAGCCTTTTCAAAAATGTAGGTCTTATGTTACGGATTCCCTTTTGTTTCTCGCAAGGAAATTCTTTGTGAAACACACTTCTGAGCTAGACCTTAGGGAGTTTTGAGGGGACAGACTGTTCATTTTATAATGGAATAATAACGTAAGCTACAAGCAGAATAAAATATCTCAATCTGAGCAAAATTTCCCCATGGCACTAGAAAAGAGGCTGTCTCAGCAGAATATACTGCAGGCAGAAGAATAGATTTCTTCCCCATGGAAAGAGCTTGATTGTCATTCTGTCATTTGTAGCTCAATAGGGAGAATGTGTCTGAAATAGCTGACTTGTGTGCAGTAAAGGGATTTTGTTTTTCAGCATGCAGTTGAAGGTTCTATAATTCTGTGCTTTTATTTGATGTGGGACTTTCTTGCATGATCTGGCGAGACAGGAAAGAAAATTAAAATAGTGGTTTTATACGAGTTGACTAACCGAAAGCTTTAGGTTGTTTTTCTCTTAACTGCTTAAATTTGGATATCGTATTCAAGCTACGATAACACTTTTTCCGATTTCTGTGTAGTTTGTTTTGCATCAAAGAAGCTCTGTTTAACACGCAGAGAAACCTAGAAAAAACACCAAAAGTATGCGTAAATATTCCATTACACAGCAGACATTTACCCGTACATATTCATTTCTCACCACTCCTACAAGAATCCCCACAACTACATCAGAATGCCTTAAATGTACTCCTCCTCTAAGCCCGTGTAATTACAGGGTACCCCCTCTCTTCGCACATAACCCCCTGATTGAACATGCCCATAAACCATTACTCATTTCTTGTGAGCTCAATTATGGATTGAGTAGTTTGTCTTGTATGAGATAAAAGTATACCTCATTTGGTAAGTTATTATCTAAAAAGTCTCCAAGAACAGACTCTAAAACGTCTGTGTGAAGTCATCAGTTGGTCTTCTTCACGTAGGACACTTGAGGGGATCAGAAGAGATACTAACTGCTAGTATCGGCACGCTCTAATGTAAGCAGTTGGAAAGCTCTGCTCACTTGGGCTGCCCTGTGGTCCTTAGAATAGGAGTCTGGACATCTTCGCTCTTTGTTCGGTTTTGAATAGCTTTTGCGTTGAAACAATGGGAGGAGGTGAGAACGTCTTGACAGCTACACAGGAGGGATTCCGTGGGCGACAAGTGGGGCCCAATCAATCGATTGCTGAGGTTTTTCCAGGAGCTCATGGAAGCATTTCCGGACAGGACTCACTCGGCAGCCACCTGCCTGCCAGGCAAAGGACAGGGAACGGGAGACGTGCCAGGCGGAGGTCTCGTCAGGGAAGAGGGTGAAGGAGCACATGTTGCTTTGTGCAAAATCCTGATGGGCGATTGAAGCAATGATGTATACCTTTGGGTTCTGTTTTCCTGTTTCCCCACAAGGGGAATCGTTTCTTTCCAGCAAGCACATCTGAGCAGACACCTTGTGTTCCCCCGGGACGGGCAAAGAGAGGTGAGGCCTGTGCTCACAGCTCCGTTCTCCCCACAGATCCAGTACAACGGGCAGCCCCTGGTGAAGGTGGCGTGTGGGGCCGAGTTCAGCATGGTGGTGGACTGCAAGGGCAACCTGTACTCCTTCGGGTGTCCCGAGTACGGGCAGCTAGGTAATGACCGGGCTCGGGGAGGGGCCGGGGGGCACGGGCGCTCAGAGTGTAGAGCATGCCAAGACCTGCAGGGGTGCTGACGAGCTGGGCTGTCGTCACAGTTCCCAAAAACACAAGCTGCTCCTTTCCCAAATGAAAAGGAAGAGGGAAAATAATTTGGGGGGGGGATGCTCATGAGACTGTATTCATCATACCTTTAATTTATTTTAAAGTTAGCTTTGATTGTGATCTGTGGTGGAATCCAGAGGGGGTAAAATACTGGACCTCAGCAGCTTTTCCGGCAGAAGTGTTTCAGTGAACCTTGTTAACCGTTCAAAGAGCCGGTGGTAGAAATCTGACAGTAAATGAATGAAATGGAAGTTGTTGCGCCCTGTGAAATTCTGTTTGGCCCTGTCCTGATTTTCATATTATGTGCTGCTGTACTGCTGTATTCTCTCTGGAAGAGTTCAAATAAGTGCTAGTTTAAGATAAGGGAGCAGAACATAATTTCTGAATGTTTTAAAGGAAACTTGTAAATATCGGAAAGTGAACCACCCGTATCCAAAATGGACAGGTCAGAGTCCATTTCTTTAAAACGTAGTCCTTATATTAAACCAAATAGGAGTAACCAAAATATACATGAGCTTGAAATTTATTGTGGAAGCAGATTTATCCTTTCTCACAACACAACAGGAGAACAGTTATGTTTGACGCTGCAGCTCCAGAATGCAATGCAATAACTATGACTATAGTTGCTGAGTTTAAAGAGTGTTCCTTTCAAGTTACAAGGCAGAGAAGGTTATTTGGCCCATGCAGCTCAGTTTATTGACAGGATGGCCAGATGTTTCACATAATCAAGAAAATCGCAGATGGCAAAACAGTTTTTCCCCTAATGGCTGTGGTACCATGCTGAATTAAGTAGTAGATTCTGCTGCGACGCAGTGAAACGACTTAGGAATTCATACTGTCAACCTGGCCGCGTTCTTCTATAGCAATTATCCTGTGGAACACACTAGCCAATTAAAAAGGTATTAAAGAATTGGACATCAGTACAATATAGGTATAGTTTAATATTATACTGCAGTATAAATGGTGTTTTCCTTAAGCACTGCTCCTCATGACCAGCTGCTTTGACAGAGTCAAAACTGGAAACTGGTTTCGGTTACTTTTTTTTACTGGCAGTCCGGAATCTGCAGGGAGTCTGCACTGAATGAACATTGCTGTGCTGTTCTGGGTTCGAGCCCGGTCGTTGGCTCGGCTCTTTGCGCTCTGGGATATGGAAATGCGTGACGCCGCGTTGTCTGTGTGTCGCGCGCAGGGCACAATTCGGACGGGAAGTTCATCGCCCGCGCCCAGCGCATCGAGTTCGACTGCGAGCTCATCCCGCGTAGGGTGGCCATCTTCATCGAGAAGACCAAGGACGGCCAGGTTCTGCCGGTGCCCAACGTCGTGGTGAGGGACGTGGCCTGCGGGGCCAACCACTCGGTGAGTCGAGAGAGCGGCTCATGGAGCCTCACCCTGCCCTGCCCAGCCACGCCAATACAGGGGCAGAGGAGCAGGAGGATAATGTGACACCCCTCTTCACGGTCGCGGGTGATCCCCGTGTCCTCGCTCGGCACGGCCGTCTGTCGCCTGCCGAGCTCCACAGCCCTGTAGCATCACTCTGTCCTGACCCAGTCCACTCCTGCATCTAATCACAATACTTCAGAACCAGGACTCACAGGCACAGGGTACACTGCATCCTTTCTGCAGCATGCATCGCAAATAGCAGCCTGCCTGCTGCTGCTAGGCTTTAACACAGCCTCACCACCAGAGGGCGTTAGATATATATATATATAACACAACCTCCTTCCTAAATTTCCTTGACAAAAAGCAGGCTTTGCAAAAGTAACCAGCTGTATTGAAGTACATTTTAGAGCTAGTTCTCATTTCTGTCCTAAGTTGGAATGGGTGTTTTGTTTGTTCAGTGAATACATCTTTTTAAAATCGAATAAGGAATCGCCCTTTTTTTTTGGTTCCATTTCCAGAGTAAGAAAAATCTACTCAAGACCCCTTAATTCAGCTGGTGAAGCAGTTTGTCATTTGTCCACTTGACCGGCTGTGTCTTGGGGCTGCTGCTTGGTTTTCTCATCCCAGCTTGGCAGAAAATGCGAGCTGAATGTCAACATTTTTAATTGCAGTTGAAGTGCGATTTTCCCAGAGTGTTTCCCCACTTTGTAGTGAATGTCGTTACACCAGTAACCCCGAGAATCGGGTGTCTTTCCGATGGGGTGATGTAGATACACCGGTGTCCCCGAGACCCAGGTGTGTTACTGTTGGGGGTTGGAGGTACACCAGTGGCCCCGAGAATCAGGGTCTTTCCGATGACCCTGAGAAATGTTGTTCTTGTGTGGACAGCGAGTCCCCCGCCCCCGCGGCCCTGACCTCTCCCCTTCCTCTCCTCAGCTGGTGCTGGACTCCCAGAAGCGGGTGTTCTCCTGGGGGTTCGGGGGGTACGGCCGCCTGGGCCACACGGAGCAGAAGGACGAGATGGTGCCCCGCCTGGTCAAGCTGTTCGACTTCCCAGGCCGCGGCGCCTCCCAGGTCTACTGCGGCTACCAGTGCTCCTTCGCCGTCAGCGAAACAGGCGAGTAGCCCGCCGCCCCAAAACCTTCACACAGCTGAGGCGCCCTGGGAACTCTGTACAGCGGACTGCAGGTCAAGGTGTTCATGGGCCCTGTGAGCTCTAGAGGCGTTTTTCTGAATTCATTGGACCACCTTGGGCGTTAGATGGAGCAGTAAACACAACAGTGTAAGCTTCAAGTTTGTTGGCGACCCCTGCGAACATTTCCTGAGCATTTGCCGCACTCCTCTCGGGGATGTGGGTGGGGTGGACTGTTGCATCTCAAGTGTAGCCAGTGACCCCCTCTCAGGTCGAGCAGGAAAGACCTGCGGTGTAGAGAACGCTGGTTGGAAAGCCGGTGGCTGGTTTTGCCCGGGATTGCCCAGATGATGGCGCTCAGCGGGCTAGATGTCACTGTTTGAACCGGTTTGGTGGTAGCTGGGGGGTTTCTTGGCTTCTTGTGCAGTAATATCCCCTGCTGCTTTGCTGTGCCGCATACATGCGCGTCGTTGGCTGTCGTGGAGGTCTAGCGCCGATCTGTGTTAATTTAGCGGCTGGCAGCTGGAGAACATATTTTGTAACTAATGATCAATGTTTCAGGTTTGATTTACAGTTGGTTTTGTGCATCGCAAAGAGTGATCCAGTTTTGCTGAGTTGCAGTGTAACGCCTCTGTGCTGTTTGCAGGGGGGCTGTTTTTCTGGGGGGTTACAAATACCTCCCGGGAGTCTACCATGTACCCCAAAGCCGTGCAGGACCTCTGTGGCTGGAAGATCCGCAGTCTGGCCTGTGGGTGAGTGCCCTGGGGGTGTTACTGTGTTGTCAGTGGGAGAAGGTTGGTGTTTGCCCACTGTCTGTGATCTCATGGGTCCCTGTAAGACAGAAACAGTGATATCCTGCTGCTCAAGTTCTGAAACTCGAGCCATGGATTTGACACCCAGCTGCAAGGTTACTCTTGACAGAATTCAGTGTGCTCTTTTCCATCCAGTTCCAGCCTAGAGATGACATTGAGGCAATCGAAGATACCGTAGATACTGGGACTCCCATTGCTCATTTCTTACCAATTCAGCCGTAACACTGTCAGTAACAGGTTGTGTTGGGAGTAACTTGGTGCAGAATCCCTGGAGATCAGGAAGGTGATTGGTGATGCTGTAGCCCACCTGAGTTTTTCTTTGCTTTCCTGCATTTAGAGCAGGTCAAAGAGCAAGTGTATTGAGTCCATCAGTAGTGTAGTGCCTCACCTTTAGAGTACAGATTCAGCACTGGAAACTGGAACAGCAGTAAATCGAATTTACAATTAAGAGGTTGTTTCATAAGGTTATTTATATCCTGAGGATCTAAGAACCCCATTAAGATTTTATTTATAGTACCTCATCCCACACATGGGCCTTGTTCCACACACCCACCACACTTAGTGTAAAGAAGCATTTCTCTGTCTCACTTCTGAATGGAATTTGTACCTACTGTTGCCGATATATTAGAGGTGCGTGTCTGGAATGAGAAACCGACATGCTCTTTGGGGTAGCTCTTGGCAATCAGTGTGCATTGCCCGTGTGTTTCAGGAAAAGCAGTATCATCATTGCAGCCGATGAGAGCACCATCAGCTGGGGCCCTTCACCCACCTATGGAGAGCTGGTAAGAGCTTTTCGCCACCTGCTAAACTGTTTCTGCATGTTGGACTTGGCAGCAATTTTGGGTAAAGGTTAGAACAAATTAATTGCCTTGTTGAGTACAGTAGAGTATCAACATCCATGAGCATTCAGTGCAGAGAACCATCGCAAATAGCCAAATTTGCATCTAACGACGTTCACTCCTATACTATCAGTATAGTCTCCATGGTTACAAGACAAAAGTAATCCTCCCTTATATGATAAAGTACTAATGCATTGGCTTAAAGGTAATTTAAAATAACATTAATGAACTAAAAGAAACAAGAATAATCACAGCGTCTCTGCTGTTCTCAGGGTTATGGTGATAACAAGCCCAAGTCATCCACCACTGCCCAGGAGGTGAAGACTCTGGATGGAGTTTATTCCGAGCAGGTGAGCAGGCACTCTGGAGCTCGTCTGTCTGTCCTGTGTGGTTTTGCCTAGTCTCTCATACAGTTCAGAAATTCGAGTTGTCGTGTTTTTTCCCCCAACTCATGTGTAAAGCAGTCGATTTGAATTACATCCTTGAAGGAAGCATTTTCCTTTTTTTTTTGGCTTCCTTCTATTTTCTAATAGAAACTTTGGCACAGCCTGCCTTTTGTTTCTTATCAGGAATTTGGATGGACTACGTACACTTCATACACTGTTCCTTCCAGGCACAGCACTTAAATTCACACTGCTACATCGGTTCCATAACTACGGCATGCACATTACATACTTGTGTGAAATGGTCATTTTAATTTTTGAATTAAATTATTTAATGCTCTTCAGTATAAATTCTATTATACTAAATATCAACATTAATTAAATATTGTATTAAATTAATATGTAATTATTGGATTTAAATGTGTGGGGAAGAGCACCTTTTGGAAATATTCATATTCTCCTGATGAAATCTATTTTTTACAAGTTCAGAACTGCATTCAAAAAATGCATTAATGGCCACCAAGAGACGTTTCTTTTTATTGGTTTTTCCTGTTCCGCGAACCTGTGGTTATTTTCCCCCGGTGCTTGCCGCTGCTGAAAACCGCAGGCATGAGTGTACACGTACCCACGTTCACGAAGTGGGAACGCTGCCCGCGCGGTTTTTAGCGTTGTGCGAAGAAAAGCCCGGGAGTTTGGGCGGGCGTCTGTTCTGAGGCATCGTTGTCGCTGCAGGTGGCGATGGGATATTCCCATTCCCTAGTGATTGCCCGCGAGGAGACGGAGCAGGAAAAGGAGAGGCTGAAGAAGCTGCCAGAGTACAACCCTCGCATGCTCTGATTGGCCGCCGCCCCGACCTTTCACCTCCGATGGGCAACTGATTCCAGGATCCACTCCGCTCTCTAGTTCACCCCCTTGCAGCCTTGGTGGGGGACGCTGAAACAATTGGATATGAGCACACTCCTTCTTTTTTTTTCTGTTCAACATGGTTTGGTTTGGGTTTGAATACCTTTTTAACAAGGTAGTAAAAATGAAATCAAAACCGCTACCTCTTCAAATGTTTCCCCTTGCGGTCACACTCGCACCTCTCAACCTGATCACCTCAGTGTCTTACAATGCCAGTCGGCTCCAGGTCAGTACAGACATCAGCACCCTCCTCCTTGTGAAGCACTTAACATTCCAACAGGCGCCATTTTTAACTTTCTCTGCAGCGATGGTCTTCCCTCAGCTCTCAAGAGTCTAGTCAAGAAGATCTAAGTGTTTTATACAGGATGTTTTTACCTTTTTGGCTGTACATATTGATAGATATATTCTTACTAAAGAGCAGGTGTCAAAGCAGTTGGAGCAGCCTACTCTATACTCAACCTGCTGAGAAAGATGTTTTTCGAAGCTGTTCTCTCAATAAAAGAGTGAGGCTCCCAGACTGTCATTGGAGTAAGAAATGTCACGGAGTCAGTCCTCAGATGAACTCACTCCAGAATGTTCTCTGCTGTACTCCAGTCCCTCCAGGTTGGGTTACCACAACGTTTTCCAGCTGCATTGTGGTCAGTTTGGGCTGCCTCAGTCGAGACTTATTACATTCCTTTTTCTTTTCCTGTTCCAGTTCTGATCTTTTGGTGTGGTTTTGAAGGTTCGAAAGGAGGGATCGTTTTCAGAAATCCCTTCTTTTAACCACTCGACAAGACCACACCACACAGATTAGTACCCCAGGAGTGCTACCTGTCTGATAACACAAGCCTGTTAGACTGCTGTTACAGTTCATTTTCAAAAAATGTTCCCTTGATTCCAACATAGTTGGTGCTGTTTGACAGGAAGATACATTTTGTAAAGCCTCCCTGAAGTACAACTTGGATCAGATATATTATATATAGTTTGACATAACGGTGTTAAGTTTGTTTGCAGTTGTCTTGTTTTTTTTTTGCTACCAAGATTCTTTTCGGCCGGGCGCACGACTTTTGAAAAGCTGCTCTGTGCCTATGAGCTGGACTGGACACCTGTCCCCTTGAGTGGCAGTCAGTCTTGTTTCTCCGGTGTATGTTCCTTGGGGGTCAGTTAGCCTGTTTCTTGTTTCGGGTTTTACTGGTTTATTCGTTTTTTATTATTATTATTTCTTGGAAATGTTAATAAAAAGGTTCATGCTGTCACCCGAGTTGCCCTGTTCCTGACACACTAACTCTCCCCCTCCACAGATCTGCTTGGGCTCCAAACGCTGTAAATGAAGCGAGAGAGTGAATCCAGTGTCCTGGTGTGTGTGCATGAGATTGTAAAGCGTGATTTGTATGATTTGGAAGCACAATGTGTTTTGAGAAATTTGGAATTTGCATGTTTCCAATATTGGGAAGTTATGGACATAAAATCTGGGATAGCCAGTTGTTTAAAGATGCTTGCCTTACAGTACATATGGAGAATGATCATTTTTCTCTTCTGGAGCGTGTGGGGGAGTATAGAATTACATGGGGATGTTGTGTAAATTATGTACTGTAGCACTCATTAGGTGCTTCGTTTAGAATACCATGTACAATTTTGGTCTGCACTTTATAGAAAAGATATTGCTGCTCTGGAATTCATTCAGAGAAGAGCAACCAGATGCATACTGGAGCTATAGGGCATGTCCAAACCTGGCAGGCTGAAGGAACTGAACCTTTTTAGTCTTGAACCGAGAAGACTGAAGGGGATGCGCTCCCAAGTATTTTTTAAAAAAAAAGCTCAAAGCCAACCCAGAGGAGTTCTTCAGGATCACCCATGAAACACGCATTGCGGGGCAAAGTGCATTTAAAACCAAGAACAGAAGGCACTTCCTTACACAAAGTGTGGTGGGGGTGTGGAACAAGCTATCCAGCCATGTTGTTGAAGCCGATACTCTTATGTTTTCTGTTAACTGCTAGATGAGATCCTGGGATCAATTAGCTTCCAAAAGGCTAACGAGCTACCAAAGGCCGCCCCTTTCTAGACAGCCATGCATCTGAGTGGCAGTAGAGCTGTTGGTCTGTCTGAGCCATTACTCTTTCCCACTGGAGCACCACAGCACCCTACAAGAGCAAGAGTGCTAATGAGCAGAAAAGCATACGGCTGACTGCCATCTCTGTGAACCCTAGGGAGTTGCTGTTTCACAGGAAGCCTACAGGGTCGTGTCCAGCTATTGCTAGCTCTACAATGTTGCGAAACACTTGTCAGAATGGGGAGTTGGAGTTGTGACTAACAGCCTAGGCTCCAGTTCCTGGCATTTGGGCCAAAGCAGTCTACACGACCGCTGAGAAAGTGCCTGTACTTACCTTGGCTGGGCTGCTTGGACACCCTTGGCATTTTGTAGCTGTTATGTTTGCAAATTGTGGACTTTCCGATGAAGGATCCACGCACACAAAATGGGAAATTGAAAAAAATTAAAACTTTATTTGGGTTTAGCAATATGCCATTAGTACCAGTAGAAAGGCCATTCTTCCCTCTATATATGTCCACAGTGTAACAACTCGGCGGTCAACTTTTTCAAACTGAATTTTTAGAAAAAATATTGAGATGGTTTTATTGCATAGTGCCATTGCCTTGTCCTTGAACAACACAGAATAATGGATCTGTAGGCCTCGGGTTCAAGGACCACTTGGTAGGGGCAGTAGGTTTGGATGCAAGGTGAGGCTTGCTGGCTGCAGGCTATTACTGAAGAGGTTAATATGTTAGCCTGAACACATCTCATAACAGGTCGCATCTGGTCTTTATGTACTGTGGTGTGTAAGGGACACTGTAGAGATGGCCTGTCAGTCTTTTGCTGATGTTAAATATCAGGCTTTATTAAGGTAAGCAACCTACAGCAGTATTTTATTTTAATAAAATTGGAACCCTCAATTCTTTTTCTTATCCACCACCCTCATTTGGAGTAGCAAGTGTATTTTTGTGTATTTTTTCATGTCTCGGCTCGTGATTACGAACCCAGCAACCACAACCAGGAGAATGAAGATGATTCCTCCCACCGGCTCGTCTTTTAGCACGTTACGGGATCGGCAGGCCCTTGCAGGAGGTTCAGTGTCTATTGGAAGGGAGGTGTGGTCTGCAAACACCCCAGCTGTCACGGAGACCCGAGACCGCCTTGGCTGACTGGTCCTTATCCTTCTGCAATGCTCAGTCAATTGTGCTTCTTAAGCACCTCCTTAAATTCATGTGTTCTGAAACCTTAGTGTACTTATCAGGTATGCTTATGACTTTATTCTGTTTAATTAATCAAATGAGATTTCTTGCTAAGCCTGCTTAGGTGCTTATCAAAAACACCTCATCCTAATATAATTCTATAGAGATGGGGAATAGGTTTAGTCAAATTCAACCTGTGGCAGGATGTCCAACTGAAATCAGATTACTCTGGAATATATCTGAAATGATGAATTATCTGTAATTATCTGTAAGTGTTCTATACTCTTGCCTGCCGTGAACAGAGTTAACACTGTCCTAGGTTACCCTGCTAGTATTCACTGCAGTGCTCAACAGCCTTTTCTCACTGGGGGTGTGGCGTGACCCAAGTTTCCAAAATCCCATGTCCTCAAGCTTGAGATCCTGCAGTAGGTAGAATCAGGTCAGTCATACGTGTGGAGGTAGGGTGACGGCCTTCCTTCCTGCTATTCCCCTCCCTCTCACAGCTCCAACTCCCACCACTTGTAAGCGAAGGGCTCCCTGCGCACATTGGAGCCGCAGTGCACCTCGCCCAACAGCTTGTGGTAGGCGGCAAAGTCGTCGATGAAGGTGCAGTTGAGGCCCAGCTCCTTCAGCAGGGAGCACATCTCAGCCTCCAGGGCGCAGCTCCCGCCCACCTTGGGGCCGTACGGCTTGGGGATGCCTACGTTCTTGCCCAGAACGATCATGTTGACCTGCAACACAACAGGCAGCATCTTGCAACACCAGACTATATCACGGTGAATCTTGAACGACCCGGCCCTGATATCAGAAGTCTGCAACCCTCAAGGGCAACCATGTAGTGAACTTTATAAGGGTCCCTAAATGATCGGGTGCTTCACTCCTTTGCAGGAGTATTCTAGGAGATCAGATTCTCCTTTGGGTTAAAGAAGTACCTGAACTTCTCAGATTAACCAGGTGATTCATCTGTTCCTGAGGTCTTATGCTTCAGCTTAGAAGAGATAAAATAAGCAGGTGACAGTAGTATCCAGTGGTGAGGTATTTTTTTGCACCAGTGTCAGTAAAGGAAGCTTTAAATAAATGCATCTCTGCCCCTTACTGAAGGTTCGGCATCAAGTTCAGGAGAGTGCATGCCCGCAAAACCCCAAAACCTGGGAAGTCACATGGGTCACAGAGAGCCGAAAATGCTCTGGCCAATTACTCTCGCCCGTTCCCATTTGGGAATTCTGCAGACCCAGCTGGTTAGTGGCATGGCCCAGGCTCGAACCTGGGATCGCAGAGCCTTTACCAGTGAATCGGATCGTGCACCAGGAGGCCCCATCATCATTGCTACTGTTGCCGTGGGCAGCCTGCTGTGTCTGTAGCAGTGTACCAGCCACTCACCATGTCTGGGTAGTAGGCGACGGCCCTCTTGTTCTTCTCCAGCTTGAAGAGGATGGGCAGATCGATAATGTCCTCGTCCTCCAGCCCCAGTTCTTTCTTCAGGACGTCCCGGTTCCAGTCAATGCAGCTCTGGGGGGAGAGAGAGGCACTGTGAAGAAAGCTCATTGGCGGTTTTGATCACATGTCCACATTTTTGCTCACATCCTAAAATGATAGCTGAGCTTCTGCGCAGCTGAAATAGAAAGCAGGAGACTGCCTGCTGGTTTCATACTTGGCTTGATTTGCATGATAAAGTATGTAGTTTATGAATGTTTACAATTTCACCTTTGCTTATTAAAATAGTTTTCTAGTATACTTGTCCTTTAGTTGGTGTTTGCCTATTTTTAATTGTCCTTTTTCTGAGTCTAGAATTTCCGGTTTTTTATGATATACCCTCCCAACCAACTGAGCAACTCAGGCCCTCTGAGTCAACAGAGTGTAAACAAGAGTCATCCATGCATTACTCTGCCTGTTGTCACTGCTCGGCTTGCAGGAGAGGTAGTACTTATCAGAGAAAATTTGTCAATTCCAAGTCTCTTGTAAGTCAAGCGATTTACAAGAGACAACTTAATCACGCTTAATCTGGGCATTGCACTGGCAATTGTATGTTACTGCAGAGGAATCCCTCTTACGTTATATACTCCAGGTTTTGTTCCTGCACACTCCTGTTGTTAGTTATGCAGAGATTGGCAGAGTCTTGATGAATTTAATCTGTTAATTGTCTAAGCCCTTGAGCTGTTTGGAATAGACCGTGGTTTTCGTGACTCTTGTGTGACTCACAGATTCCTCACCTGGACGAAGTTATTCTCCTCCTGAAGACGTTTATTGCTCAAAATGGCTTCCACAGAGATCTGTTCTTTCATCCCTGAAGGAATTGAAAATGATTTTTGGTCAGGATGCTTCCAAACAAGAATGGGCAGCAGAAACAGAGAATATGCAGCATTGTAATAAGCAAGTAAGTTCTTAATAAGGTATTCCTTTTAGAATACCCCCCATGCACACACACAAATACTCTCTGATGTAAATGTAGATATGGTATATTGAATCCAATGTTTCATGCTGAAAAAATGACAATATAACTAATTAACCAGAATGAGGACAATTTTCCTGCACTGATGAATAAGGACAACTGAGCCTAGGGTAAAAAACACACATAGACTGTGCTGAGAATCCCGGTGAGCTGTGGCAGATGTGGGATCATTGTTTGA